GGGGAGGGGAGAGGATGGGGGGTGCTTCCCTCTCTGCGTCCCAAACAAAGTGTCACAAAGAGCTCGGCCGGCGGCAGCGGCGGAGGCGGCTGCAACTCAGCTTTTGTTCTCCCGGCCCGGGTAGCTGAGCCCTGGCCTCCCAGTCTCCCAACCCTGCCCCCCCCCCCATCATCCTTCTAGCTTATCTTCCCCGGGAGGGGACTGGGGTGCTGCTGGAAGAATCTCTTGTGCAGGATCACAGGTCCTGCCCTACTTGCCAACCTACTTCTGGGAGGGAGATTTTCCCAGAGGCTCTTTTGCCCACTCCCCCCACCCCCTAATCTGAGGACTGAGGCTCATATGGGTGCTAAGGCTCTGACCTTTCTAGGTTCAGCTCCAGGTAAGGGGACTTAGGGTTGGCTCTATGCCCCCTCCCCAAAATCAAGGTTCTCTAGAACTTTCAGAAGAGGGGTCAAGTTGGGACATGCCTCTGGAATAAGATTCCAGAGGTGTGGTGGGGTGGCAGTAGGTCAGCAGGTGAACCTTCCTCTTGTCTCCTGCTGCACATTTGGAGTCAATGACTGAGGTGCCATGCCCCCAAATCAGGACAGTGAGGATGGAGGGAAGGAAGCTTTAGCAAGGACTCAACGTAAAAGATGGGCATGCTGTGATGTGGGGTCAATTTAGAGGAATTCCCTGAGCAGTAAGGTTCAGAAGGCCATGGAGAGGAGACGATAAAAGTGAGCTACTGGCATGTGGTTGTGTGATAAAAGTGATCTTGACTCTAGACCCCCTAAGAAGCTCTCTTTCTTTCTAACGTCATCTAGTGTAGTGTTAATCATAATTGGTAGTGGACTTTGGAGGTGTAGGGTTCTCAACAGAGGGAAAAACATCAAGTATTAGAAATGAACAATGACAGAGGCTTAGTTACAACTATACCTCAGAAATCCTGAATCCTTGCCCCTTACACTCTGACTCTAAAAACTTTTGAACCACAGACTTGAAGGACAATCTTCTAGGTCCTTCAGTCAGCAGATGCTTCTTCGTACCTGACCTTGTTTCTAAGACTCCTCTCACCAACCCTTCCATTCTTCCCTAACTCGGTTAAGGTTTGATGGTCCACATCCCCCTTCCCCACCAGCTTTCCTAGCACATAAAAATAATTGGCCTGTTACTTTAGAAGGAATTATGATCCCTAGCCCTAGCCCTATATCCCTATAGAACCCAAATAAGGTCCAGATAACCCCTGATTCCCAGTGGGAGTGGAAAGTAGGTCAGTACTACTGTCTGGCCAAATCTCGTGGATGGTGTTTAGGGCTTGACTATAGAAAACTCTAATTATTGCTCACAGGCAAAACATGCATGATCTGGGTTCTAAGCCAGTTCATAGATCTTGGACCCTGTCAGTGCTGTCTCCTATTGAAAAACAAACAAACACAAACTCATGGGATCACATGCCTAGGACCTGCTTTGGTGGGGAGATGATTCAGGAGGTCTTGACTGGGCCTAGGAAGGTGTCTAAGTGGATTTTGTTGATTTGAGGCTACCCTCTGGGGTACCCTGTTTGGGAATTCACCTTCAATTTGGGCCTTCTTATATATCATTTTTTTTTCTGACCTGGAAAATGCTATGTGCAAAGCAAGTCTTTGTTTTTGTTTTGTTTTGGAGAAGGAGACTTTGCCCTGTTCCTGCTCTACTTGCCTTATATATGAGGTCAGCCTCCCATGAGGTATTTTGCTTGCTGTCCTATAGGCAGTTTTAGGGGCCCTAGAATCTTCTCAGAATCAGAATATGTGCCCATAGGTTAGTCAGCTATGACCATGCAGTATTCCCAGCCTCCCCCCCCCTCCTCCCCCACCATCTGCTTCCTCTGAATATACCAGATTGGCTGTACACCAGGATGTTCCGGGAATCCCCAGGAGAGCAACAGAATGTGATGGACCCAAATACGATGCCTCAGTAACTCATTCCAGGATGTACAAACTGTAACTGTCAGGACACTCCTTATAGCTAATTAAAATTCTTCTAGTTACATCTATTTTCTATTACATTTATCTATTTTCAGTGACATCCAAAAGGCCAAAATAATCCCTCTGGTATCACTGTTCCCCCGGCCCGCTTCCCCATGGTTCCCAGATAGGAATTTTTAAAAATCCTCTAGCTTTTCTCAGTGCTTTATCTGTGGTGCTAAAATGGCAAATGTGGCCCTTCTAGCACTTCCTAGCTCTTTCTATGGTACTGAGGTGGCCAAAGTGGCTCCTCTGGTAGCCCACTGCACTCTCCATGGTACTGAAGGGATGACCATTTATTTCAACATCCCTCTGGGGTCCAGAAGAGTCCTGTGACTCAGAACCACAAATTTTCAAGCTGGAAGGGACCATCAGTATAAATTAGTTCAACCTTCTTGTTTTACAGATGAGTAAACTGGGAGGTTAAGTGATTTACTGAAGGTTGCAGGGCTATTAATAGTCAGACTGGACCCACAATAGCCTGTACTCCTTGGTCCTACTCTTTAATTCACCTTTCCTGACACTACTCACTGAGTCTAGCTGGGCTCTTAGTCTCAGGAAAGGGGTTTATTTGGAGGATCCAGAAGATGACCATGGATGCTCTAATTTGGAACTACAGAAATGCAAATATTAAAGATGGTGGTGGAGGTTGTTTAGTGACCCTTGGATGAGGACACTTTGCCAGTCAACCTCCTGTTCATAAAATTCCCTTAACCCAGATTTCACATGTAACAGGTACCTGCCCCTTCATAGACTCTTATCACATTCATTAAATGTCAAAAATTAAAGAAGGCTTGGACCTCCAGAGGCTTTTCTCTTTGCTGATAAGCAGGGCTGACTCCTGGCCCAGTTCTCTTCTGTTAAAGATCCTTAAGCAAAGTAATGCTTGAGTCCTTTTCTTTCTCAGTAACCCATTTCAGTTTCACAATGGCTATTGTAAGGAAGTTCTTTATATCTCAAATATTCTTTCTATCTCAGGCAAGAAAAATAGGTTAGGTCTACATTCATCTGGCCTCGACCAGACACAATTCTATATGTAAGTAGGAAGTTAGGCTGGCTGACTTCTGGTTGTCCTCTCAGGCCTATTTCTATGAATGTTAATTCTGGGGTTGTTTCTAAGTCCTAATGCTAACCTCTGCAGCTTAGAATCAGGAGAGCCCTC